ATGAAAAGAGTTCTTTGTTCTGTTTCAAAAAAGAAAAAAGAAAAAGAGAAAAAAAGAAAGGAGATCTCTGAGCTTGAATCTTTGTAAAAAAGGGAAAAAAAAAAAAGGGAAAGAGAGTTACTAATTTCCCTTTGTCTTGTTTAGAAAAAAAAAATCAGAGAGAGCTAATGAGGACTCGTTAGACACTAAGGGTTAGCTTAATTAGCCAAGTGACTAGAAAAACAAAGATCCTAGCCCTGCCTCATTACAAGCCTTAAAGACCCTTTGATGGAGATAGCATATTGGACTTCAAGTTTCTAAATGGTAGTGTAGGTTGAAAGCATTCATGCATAATGACAATGAGTGACCTCCCTTATAAACAGGAGAGAGTTTGATTGATTGAATGTATCTGGAAAGGAATTCAGTGGAAATTCAATTGAATCATTTTAAATTAGGTTGCAACTAAATGAATGAGCATGAAATTTTGATTGAATGATTATGTAATTGCTGATTGACTGGAGTTGGGTGATTAATTGGTTGTAGGAATTGGTTGACATTAAGCCTGGTCAATGCTTTAAGAAGAGTGATGTTTTGCACGGATGGCTGATTTAATTTAACTAAGTTATTGAAATTATATCTGTGTTGATATATAACTTATGAGTGAAGTTTGTCTGATTACTTGAGGGCAAGCAATTAACTAAGTTTGGGGTATTTTGTTAGCTATAAATTATGATTATTTTAATGGCTTTATTTTTACAATATTTGAGTTGAAGGCTGGATATTAGTGCATGGTAATGGGCCAAATGAGTGCCAATCAGCCCAAAGGTAAAAAAAGAGAGAAAGAGATAAACTGATGATTTACTACTCTCTTTTATTATTTTTACTGCAGTTTGGAAGCAAGATCAACTCTTTGAAATCAAGATCAAATCTGAACCATTGGATGAACATAGAGATGAATGGACAGCAGTGCATTTGGAGGCAGCTTTATAATTTTTAGTTAAATAGAAGTCTAAGTCATTTTAGGGTGATATACCGTACTTGTTAGTTTCAGTTTACGTTTTAGAATTTTGTATTTTCTCTCTTCAAATATGAGTGTTTGTCTTGAAAGCTGGTGCATGTTCTTCAATTCTTGATCTCGAAGTGCATTGACAACGCAACTTCAAGGAAAGGAACCACGGATCTGCATACGAGCTACTGTTTTCACATTTCTGATCTTTTTCTTCCTAGCTCTAGTTTAGGAACTTTGACTCTTTAAGAACCGGTTTGTAACTTTACTTTGAGTTTTCTTTCATGAATGTTTGTGATGCATGTTTCTTTACTTTTAGATTTGTAATATTTTTGAATATGGGTTTCTGATCTTTTCCTTTCTGGGATTCACGATGATTGGGTGATCTTTTATTTTTCTGAATACTGTGATGGTTTGCTTTAGTTTCATTTGATTAGCAAGATTTTGATTTTAAGTTCAAGAACACCATGGGAATGGGTCTTGAATAATTTTTGCATAATTGTGATTGGGAAATCAGGTTATGTCCCTTGTTAATTGAACCCTTGAGGTTAGGGATAACCCAAGGAGGTCTTTGATACAATTTTTGAAGATTTAGAAGACTTTGGGAAAAGATCCTTCTAAAGATTAAAATCTGGAACTGGGAAGTTTCAGATAAAATAGCCATAGTAATTCGAATTCTGATACTAAAGTGCCGTAGCAGTTATAAAACGCAGGAATGCGAAAGTTTTCCTTCATCCATGATTCAAAGAATTACAGAACCTTATAATTGATACATTTGTGGTTAGATATTCCTCTGTTAAATTTTGTTTAATACAAATCTGATAAATACCTTGTTTGATTTAGTCTTTTCTTAGTTTTAAAAGATTGATCACTTAATTTCAAGAAATTAGAAATAGAAATTAAAAAGGGAAAACTAAACAACCCGTTCCCTGAGAACGATAACTCTTTCTTGAGAAAAATACTACCCAACAGTAACCTCTGGTTCATCCTCCTCCATTGCACAAAAGTCATTATTTTCTGTGTCACCAGCAGCTATTCTAACAGTGAAAGCTCTTTTATTCATGGGCTCCTTGTCAACATCAAGCTTTTGCTTTGACACCATCTCATTCTCTCCCGTAGTGGCATCATCTGCATGTGATCCAGTTCCCGTGGCAGCAGCATTTGACCCCTTTTAAGCATTCAAGGAAGCTCATATATGCTTCCGTATTTGATTTGTCGTCCATGTCACTTGTAGAATCAAAAGTATAATGTGTGTATCTTGAAGGATTACGAATATAATCCGGAACGGCTGAAGCAAATTCCTGTGACTTTGATAACTGATTTGAAGCTGCAATCTCTTCCATTGAAGGAGTCTTCATGCGAACATCCCTGGTTCCTTCATTCTCACATTCAGAATCAAACCGAACACACGCTTCTTGGACCTGGTTTCCGAAGGATGATTCTCTTTATTCTTCAAAATTGACTTGGGGTTAATAACACCACCACCACCACCACAAGTGTCAGGTGTAGATTTCTCAGAGACATGCAAAGCATCAATTTTTTTAGCTGCTTCATCATCCTGCTTAAGCCTAATCCTAGCAGCCAAGTGATTTGCACGTGGGTCTCTCATAAAATCTTTGAACGTAGTGGGAATTTCACTGCAAGAACTCATCTCAACCCCATCGTCATTTATATCCTTCATATAAACGCGGTCCCCCGAATTCTCTTTGCCAATAGCCTGTTTGTCATACTGATCTTCCTCTTCCTGCATAAAGTGATACAGTCAAGTTCTTTTTTTTTTTTTAAAAAAAAAATCTAAATTTTGAGGATGAAAAACTTTAAACAAATATAAACAATAAAAAAAAAACAAAGAAGCACAAAATCAATTGTTGATAGTGTTCACTAGTTAAATTGTTGATTTCAAGGAAAAAATGATTGAATCCTTGAATTTTGATTACTATACAAAGTTGAGCGAAGTTGGTACAATTCGAATTTTAAATATATAATCTTAGTTCATCACATCATAATAGACTCTTCAATTTATTTGCAATTGTGATCTTCCTCTTGCTGCATAAGGTGATTGAGCCACGTATGTCTGTGTGTGTGTTTTATTCAAGAACTTCGACAACAACGACAACAACAAGAAGAAAAAGCATAAAGGGAAAAAAAACCCATAAGTTAAATTATTGATTCGAATGCACTTTTAACACAAAGAAAATTCAATTAGGGTCGTCTAATTGTTTGAGTGAAGTGGGTTGAATTGGAATTTGAATTATACTGTATTCCTCAGCATAATAATAATAATTAGAGATTATTGGGAAAAAGATAAAAGGGAATGAAAAGTACCTCGTAATCGAGGGTGCAATCGAGGCCAATACCAGACCTAATTTGCCACTGTTCATCGTCGTAATCGGGTGGCTTAGAGGGTCCACGCACGTCTTCTTCATCGTCATTGTCGTTTAGGTTTTCTAGGTCATTCTCCAGCTCAACCCTAAATTGGGAAGAGGAATAGGGTTTGGGTTTGGATTGATGGACGCGTTTGGAGTAGGGAGTGTCGTTTATCTCGTCTTGGGTGAGAGACCAAAGAGAGTTGAGAGAAGAAGAAGGGATAGGAAGAGAACCGAAGGCTTTTTCAACTCGTACTTTGAAACTGTCTTCTATGTTATGTTATTCTTCTTCCTAATGGCTACCATTATAGTAGCAGATGCAATTCTTATTTGTAGCAAAAATATAGGGCTAAGAGCAAGGGTATTATGGGAATTTCTCGACCAATTCATGGATTAATCTGTTAATTTAAATTAATCATATATTTATCAAACTTTTATCACAATTATGTATGTAAGAGTCAAACTCAGAACATATTAATCAATGTGAAATAACCTAGTGCCAGTTAATTTAACTGTTTGGTGATTTTTTTTTTTTTTTTTTTTTTTTTTTACTTCTAGCATTGGGGAACATTTTATTTTTTTCCCTCTCTAATATATTATTATTTCCTCGTTAGGGGAAATTAAATGGAAAATAGTTTTTTAATATATTGTCTTTTCCTAGGATATTATACAGTAAGGGTTCTACTTGTTTGAGATAATTTCAATTATATATAAATAAATTAATGATTATTCCATGTTTCAATTTTAATATTTTTTTTAAAATGATTTAATAATGTTAAGTGAATATGAAAGGATTAATTTCTTATAAAAATTTCTGAACCGCAAGAATAACATAAAGTGACATATCATGTCGCAAAATAAAAGAGACATAATTATTGTCAATATTATATAAAAATAAAATATCATATTGTTGCTTTCTTCAATACAAAGTAGAGACTCAAGCAATGTTTATTAACTCGTTGCATTGTAAATTCTTATATTAATTTGCATTAAATTCTAGATTTTTTTAAAATGGTTTAGCTTCTTAAAATGAGTGAAAACTAATAAAATATAAAAACTCAAACCATTTTTGTTAAATAGATTGATTCTATAAAAAAATGAAAAAAAAAGTATACATTTACCCCATTCTTGCTACTAGAGGAGACAGAGAAAATTTAAATTTTTTTGAAGGGAGAGAATACTTTATTTTTAAATGATAGAGAACACGACTATCATAATTTTTCTCCCCACATATATGAAGTGTGAGTGGTCTGTATTCTGTTTATCTCCCCACAATTTTCACATGATCCCACATTTGCTTCACACTCCTATATATATAGTAGTCACCTGCTGTCCTGCTGTGATGATGGCGAAAACGGCAGTGGTATACGCCGTTTTGGTGGCGGCGATTTGGGTTGTGGAATCGGAGTACATAGAGTACAACACGACGCAGAGTATCGTACCTGACAAAATAAACGTGCACTTGGTACCTCACTCCCACGATGATGTTGGGTGGCTCAAGACCGTGGTTCAGTACTACGTTGGAGCCAACAACTCCATTATGGTTTGTGTTACTTTTCTTCGCTGCATGCAAAGGTTGTGATTGTTGATCGAAGATTTTTTTAAGGTGATTTTTGTGTTGGTACTGGACAGGGTGCGTGTGTGCATAACGTGCTGGATTCTGTGATTTTCGCGCTCTTGGAGGACAATAATCGCAAGTTTATCTATGTTGAGATGGTAATCTTAATAACATTTAGGGCTCGTTTGGTGGAGAGGATAGGATAAGGGTAGGATATAATATGAGGCTGATAAGGGTAGGATATGATATGAGACTGATAAGCCTATTTCATGTCTTGTGTTTGATGAGCACCTGATTAGCACTCTGATATTATGTAGAAGGAGAAATGAGAAAGAAAAAATAAAATATAATGCAATAAATACAAATACATTGGGTAACGTGGGGATATATTGGGTAGCGTGAGGATATATTGGATATCCAATATTTGTATCCTATCCTGTTGAATCCTAACCCAGCTCCTCCCATAGGATAAGAAATTATGTATTAGATAGAATAAAATAAGACAATAGGATAAGTTAATCATATCCTATTGACCTACTAAACAAGAGATAAAAGTAGGATATGATAAGTTATCCTATCATATCTTCTTTATCAGGTGCTCCAAACAGGCCTTTAGTTTTGGTGCTTGCATTTTCTTTTCTTTTTTTAAAAATAAATAAATTAAGTGAGGAGTTTTGAAGGGCAAGGAGTGAGTGATTGGTGGGTTTAGTTGGGTTGCTGATTTTTATTTATTTATTTATTTACTTTTTGAATTTATGTATAGGTATTTTTCCAGAGATGGTGGAGACAGCAAAGTAAAGCTATGAAAAATTTAGGTCAAGGAACTTGTCAATTCGGGTCAGATGGAATTCATGTAACTAATTTTATGTTATTCTGCCAGCCTGAGGCTAGTTAGTCGTTACTGCTTTTCAAATTCATGATTATATATATTTTTAATATTGCAGTAGCTAATTATTACCTAGCAGGTGGAAGATTTTTTTTTTTTTTTTTGGATGGGGGAGGGGTGTTTACTTTTGCCTAATTTCTAATTGGCATTATACATAAGTAGATAAGTTTTGAATCTGATGAGCATTTTCTTATTCCTCTTATATTTTTGTTTTTGAAGAAATGGGGGTATGTGTATGCATGATGAGGCCACCCCACATTACATTGACCTAATTGATCAGACCACTGATAATCCATAAAATGTGACTTAAAACATATGGTTTTAATATGAAAATGTAAAAAAGAATACTCTTCGTGTTAATAGATACCCCAATTGCATTGAGTTGAAATGTTATTGATTTAAGTGTTAATGGGCTTTATTTTATTTTCAGGCCCACATCTTAATACTTTCCAAAGCAAAGAAGGAAGAAAGAAAAGAAAAGAAAGAAGGAAGAAAGAAAGACACAGTAGCGTTGGATACAATTGGAAAAAGCATTCTGAAACCACTGAACCCTAACCCTCGTCGTGCAAACCAACTCATTTCCACCCAACCACAATCCCAAACCTTCCATTTTGATTCTTCTTTACAAATCAAACCAGCAAGCCACATCAGTCTTTAATCTTGGTTTACCCATCGAACCTTAGCCCTCACCCATGGTCCCTTAAGTGAGCGTTCAACCAAAACACTGACTCTAGCCATTTTGATTGAAACAGAAAATGCCAAACACTACCCATAACTGATTGGGTGAGCTGGAGTTTGTTAGGAGTGTTGGCTGAAGCAATTTTTGGAGTGCGATAACTGCCTTTGCAAAGGAATCGCACGATTGGAAGAAGTGCATGGATGTTTGTTGTTGGTGTGAGGCCCAAAGCCCATGCATGCAAGGGAAGAGAGCTATAAAAGAGGAGGAATAGTTGATGTGAGGCCTCTCTTCGTCTTCTGTATTCTTCTTCTCCATTTTTCTTTAGTTTATTTTTGTGTTTTCTGGTACTGTAATGGAGCCTATGTTGTTTGGATTAGAATATGTCAGTACAGTCCCGAGGCTATTCTTGTGAATAGGACTCGTGCTGTATTTTAAGTTTTCTGCACTTTATTTTCACTGTAATTTTCATTTCATTTTGCTGTTTTTGTAGCTCAACCCTTATGGGTATGAGCTAAACCTTTGAAGGTTGGGTCTAGGTTACTCGAACCTCAGTGATGGTTGATTGTTAATTACTTTTGTTAATTTTTAATTCTCAGTTGTTTAATGCCATGTGTTGTATTTAAACATTCTGTCATTGAGGCCTGATGGTAGATGTTGTGTTAGGAAGAAGTCATCGAGAGGTGACTAATTTTGGAAATGCATTAAGCACATGGACTTGAATAAGAGATTATTTAAGGGCTGGATTACAGGGTAAGATTAGTGAAAATCCTGAAATTAGGGTCAAAATACATAAGAAGGGTAAAATGGTAATTTGCCAAACACGTAACAATGGTCTAAGGTTCGACACAAAACATAGGTCAAGGTTTGGGAAAACAGATTGCAGGATCTACTTTAAAAAAATACTGTACGGAAAAATTTTCTCATTTTGTATTGTTTTTCGATTTAAGTTTTTAATTTATTTTCTATTCAAGTATAAATATATCATTTCTTACTTTTTTTCATTTAAATTTCAAATTTAAATTATTATTTTTATTAACTATACATATATTTTAATAATTTTAAATATTTTTTTTAGTTTAATCTATAATTTTATATTAAACTTAAATTTGTTATGTATATTTTTTTTCCTGTTTTATAATTAATCCTAATAGGTATAATAATTAAGCCCAATAGACATAATTGTGGAACCAATGCACTCTACGAAAAGAATATAAAGGTTCAACGATTTTGATGATAACAAACAAACATGGAAAGAAAGCTTCAAAGTGCAACCATAAAAAAGAAGTCTAAACAAGATCAAGACTCAAGCTTCAAGAGAAGACTCTAAGTCCAAGCAATCTCAAAGTAACATATCATAGGACTTAAGATTATTTGAAAGGGGAATTGATTGCTTACGTGAACAAAGCTCAAAGTACTTTTTCAAATACATGCATTAAATCATCGTTTGACATTCAAATACATTCCTAGCATGAAAATATAGTTTTCAATGTTTATAAAATGTTTAAACAATATTTGAAACTGATTTGAATCAAGAGAAAACCATTTTAGGGTGAAATCCAACCTTTAAACAGGTTGGTAATCGATTACCCAAACAACGGTAATCGATTACCCTTCATGGTAATCAATTACCCACACAATGGTAATCGATTACCTTATGTGCAGAAGGCAAAATAACGGCTATTTTGCAAAAATAAGTGTAAAAACAGCCATGGGAGCCCTCTATAAATAGAGAATATTGTTCCCCTTGATGGGACATACTTCTTGATCATTATTACTCATTTATTATCATTCTATTTGCATTATTCTTGTCTTCTTGATCATAAATTCTCTTTGAGCTTTATTCGTGTGAGAATGTCAACTACCATTGTTCTTCAACTTGTATTACTTGTACTTTGAGAGTACTTAGCCATTGTTAAACACCTCCATTTGATTTCTTGAATAGCTAGGGGAGTGAATCCTATACACTTGAGAGGTCACCAAATTCCTAAGAAAATTTGGAGTGAAAAATTGTAAGGCATCAAGAGCCCGAAGTCTTGAAAGATTGTAATGGTTTGTCAAGCACCCTTAAGCTTGATAGCTAGTGAAAAGATTTGATCGAGCGACTTCAGTCTGGACGTAGGTCACGGTGGTGGTGACCGAACCAGGATACATCTAGTTTGTAATTTCTCTAACCTTAAACTCCTTACTTTAGTATTGAAATTGCATTCTTAGATTGTGTTTATTCATTTCTTGCTTACTTTATTGATCACACACTTGCTCTCACATTTAGATTTATTCCTTATTAAATCACTTTATTGAAGAAATACTCTTTAAAATATCAAAGGAGGCACTTTGCAAAAAGATTTTGTAAAACTCAATTCACCCCCTTCTTGAGTATTGAAGCCACCTGTCCAACAAGTGGTATTAGAGCTTGAACTCTTGTGTAAAGAGCTTAACCGCTTCAAGAGAAGGGATGAGTTCTTTGAACCATGATATGCCCCTTGAGGGATCTTCTAGTACTAGACCTCCATTTTTCAATGGCGTCGATTACTCTTATTGGAAGAGTCGGATGAAAATATTTCTTCAATCTAATGATTTAAGAGTATGGAACATAGTTGAAAAATGGTATACACCACCTACTATAAAAAATGAGAAAAATGAAGATGTTCCTAAAGATATAGATGATTACATCGAAGATGAAGTTAAGAAAGGAAATTGGAATGCTAGAGCTCAAAACTTGATCACAAATGCCTTAGGTCGTGATGAATACTTTCGTGTTTCAAATTATAAGAATGCTAAAGAAATGTGGGATATTCTTCAAATAACCCATGAAGGAACTAGTGATGTTAAATTTACAAAATTAAATGCACTCACTAGAGAATTTGAAATGTTTGAGATTCATGAAAATGAGAGCATTCAAAGTATGCAAAAGAGATTCACACACCTTGTCACTCATTTAAATGCTTTAGATAAATCCTTTACTAACTTTGAGTTAATTGCTAAGGTGATGAGAAGTGTACACAACAGGGAATGGTAACTCAAGTTGTCGGCTATAACGGAATCAAAAGATTTAAAGACCATGGATCTTGCAACCTTGTTTGGCAAACTCCAAGAGTATAAAATGGAGCTAAGTAAAATAACCTTGAAAGAACAAGCCATTAAGAAAAGTAAGGGAATTGCCTTAAAAGCCTCAACACCAAGCAAAGAAAAGGATGAGGAAAAAGAAAATGGAGACTCCGAAAATGATCTTGATGAAGATGAAATGAGTTTCTTCGTAAAGAAGTATGGAAATTTTTTTAAAAAGAATTTTTCAAAGAGACCCGCATTTCCTCCTAGAAGAAGATCTAAAGATGAAGGATCCTCCCAACTCACCATCACTTGCTATGAATGTAACATCCCCGTCTCGAGCCGGTTCAATTAACATACATATGATACAAACAGAAATAGGGGAAGACTTAACTTACGAAAATGCGAGCTAACTTTTTCTTTTTCTTTAACCCTTTTTAACATACATATGAATGCATGTTCCTAGCATCAATCTAACAGTTGTCCACGTGTGTGAGACTTGTATGCATGAGTTTATGTTACTAAATGCAATATAGAGATATAAGCTCAATAAACTCAACTTCATACATTCAAAGACTCTAAAAGTATGACACATAAATAGAATACAATTCTTCAAATATCTTCAAGTGTCTTCATCCTTTGAGTCTTCTAGGTCTTTTCTTCACTTGGACACTGTAAGAACCCGTACCGTTAAATTAGGAAATTAAATGATTAATTATGAATTTAGGAAATAATTCCATAATTGACCTAGAATAATTATGAGAAGGCTTAAATAATTATTATAAGGGCTTAATAATATTGAAAGTCGCTTTTCTGACGAAAAGTGCAGATACCGGTTCTGCTTCACGGTATAAGTGCGTACCGATTAAGTAACCTGAAAAATTATAAAAAGTATGTATATATTCCTAGGATAATATTTAGGACTGGAATATCAAGTTTGAAGTCGAAATAATGAGAACTGATGTCAGAACTAATATCGGCTACGTAAAAGCGCGTACCCGAAAAAGTGTTGCGAAAAATTATAATAAAATATGACAAATCTTAAAAAAATAGCTAGGTTCAGAATATGAAATTTGAGATTAAAATGATAAGCGGAGCTATTAGTGCTAATACCGAGGGATTAAACTTAATCCGCCTATAAATACCAAGTGACACAGATTTCTAGGTCAGAAATCATAAACCCTGCGTGAAATTTTCTGGTGCATTTTGGCAGCCACCCTCTCCACCTTACTCCATAGCCTTTTCTTCATGAAACTCCATCAAGGCACCACCTTTCTTCATGGTTCCTTCACCAAAACACGTTAGCTAAGTGTGAGATTGCATTGTGTGAGTGAGAGGCCTTCCATTTCTGAGTTTTTGGTTGCTGTTTGGTAGGTGTTGGGGATGAGTTTCTGAGTTCTTGTGGAGGAGGCCATTTTCCATGCCATTTGAAGCTTCAAGGTGCCATTTTGGTTGAGAAAGGACCAAGCTTTGATCATCCATTTTCATGGCCTTGTGTAATCTGATTTTTGGGACTGTTTTGAGATCTCTAAGACCACATTGTTCTGCTATTTTTGAGACT